GCAGGAATGAACTTTCCAGCCAGTGTCTGTCTCTGGCTTCTGCCATTTTTATACTTCCTAGACAGATTCAGAGTACTCTAGTCCCCAGAGACAAACATCCTATGTATGTATACAAGGGGAACAGCAAAAATAATACCGCTGGACATCGATCACCGCGGTCACCTTAGATCTTAAATACTTACACTGTTGTCTTACCGTCTTAACCCTAAAGATAGATCTGTCACCCTCCCACCACCTCGAGGGACAACTGAGGGCTGGCTTCCACTCTGCCAGCCTGACCACATCATTCGATACCACCCTCAGCCCTGGACGGTGCAGGCCTGCGGAGGCGGCCATTATCTGACCCTCCTGGAAACGGAAAATCTTTTTAGCAGCTGAGGTCCAAGCCTAATTGGCTCTGATAACCTTTGGTTAAAATAAAACTAAACTAAAACAACAATAACAAAAACAACAATAATAATCAGGTATGTTTGAACCCTGTAACCTTTAGAATAAGGGCTGGTAAGGGGCGGGGGGGGGCTGTCTCTCTTCCAAAATCATCATCCCTCCCGGGATGTACCAAGGGACCATGCAGCTAATAAGAGATGCTGGGGATGGAAGCTTCTCCGCCAGACTGCCAAACGGAACAGTAGGAGGTTCCAACAACAATAATTAGAAAGAAGAAAGAAAAAGAAAAAAAGAAAAAGAAAGAAAGAAAGGAAGAGAGAGAGAGAGAGAGAGAGAATGGTAAAGGCCACCAAGTTCTGATAAATAAAAATCACACACTAACACACATTCTTTCTCTTTCTCTACATATATATAGATGCATATATATGTATAATACATATAACATGAATATTATATACAATAGTTTTAAGACTGCAAAACAGATGGCGGAAACAAGAGAAAGAAGGCCCTTAAAGGTGGTTGGTACCCTAGGAAGGAAGAACTGGGGGCCACATTCTACTCAAAGCCAGAGCCCCTCCTCTGCCTCCAGACAGAAGCAGTGGGCAGTAAGGAGTTCTAGGTCCTTAGGCACAGTTTGCTCCTTTGACCTCTAGGGGGAGCTGCAGGGCCAACAAAAACAAAAATCAGCAGTTGTAAGCGAGTGGGTACAAAAGAAATTTAAAAACAAAAAAGGCAAAGGCTGGTCAGCTGGCTCCAAGCTGAGATTCAGATGGTGAATCTGAACACAGTTCCTTTTAACTCAGGCCCACTTGAGTCCTGGGGAGATAATGGCTCGATTAACTCCCCAACTGGTCAGTCAAGTAAATTATGGAAAGAAGCTTGCAAATGTTCTCACTTGAGCACCTACTCCCGCCACCTCCGATCTGCCAGCAGCCCTCACTGCCACCCTCCTCTTCCCTTTCCAATGCCTGCCAGTGGCCAAACAGTGGGTGACTGGGGAACAGTGGAGAACCAAGATGGTGGCAGGTGGGTAATACCCAGGCCTAGCTCCTTTCAGACTTTCTCACAGAGAAATTACAACCCCTTATAATTGCCTGGAAACAGAGGGAAAAACAACAAGTCATCAGGGTAATACAAGACCCCCATCCAAACCCACAGAGGTCCCCAAAAAAGCAAACAGTCAGGTGGCCAAGGGCCTTGAAGAACCCAGTGCTCCTTACTGACCTTGACCAAACCCCTACTCCCGAGTCAGTGCTCACCCTGAGGCTGCAAGAGACACCGCCCTAGCTTTGGCCTCTCAGCTCCAAGGGAAAATCATGAGTCAGGGAGAGGGCCTACCTTCCACAATACGTAAGGCAAGCCGCTTTTTTGTTTGTTTCTTTTGTTTTTTGCATAGTAGTTTAAACACAGTGAGGCTCCACCTTTCCCCACCGTGCCTTGTCCCTCTGCGTTGCCACTCGATCCAAAAAGAAAATCAAAATTTGTCTTTCCTCCCTCCTTCCATCTTTTCTCTCTTTTGGTAAGTGAAAAATCCTTGGGAGGTCCCTACCCAGGCCTGGAAAGGTTGCAGAGGCAAACGGCTCCATCCTGGGCAGAGGTGGACCACCCCAAGCCCAACTTGGTCAGTGCTGGCAGAGGAAGGGAGGGCATATATAGCTCACGGCCAATCAGAAGAGCAGGTGGGAGGGTAGAAAAATATATTATACCACACCTGGGGCCCCGCCCTCACCCGAGAGTTTTATATAAAAACACCTGCTAGGAATAATTCTTTGGAGCTCAAAGTGGCTCAGCTTAAGGGAAAAGGCACAGTTAACACTGCATCATCCGGACAGAAGTCTGCATTTGTAATGTGGAGAACAATAGAAATTGAGAGCACCATTCCTTGGGTGGGTGGATGGAGAAGGGGCACTGGTTGGTGGTGGGCGGAAGGAAGGAAGCAGCAGTCCCTTGGGGCCTCCAGAGGAGGGAAGGCAGAGGAAGTCTGTGTGGTGAGGACTGGAGTCCCACTCCGAGGAGCTTTCCTGGCCCCATGGGGAGATGGGTGCAGAGGCCCCATCACCAAGACCAGCAGGCGCAGGGGGCCTCAGTCATCAGCTGACCATGGGCTCCACATCCGCCTCCCGCTCAAACTCATCCTGGATCTCGTCTGTACTTCCTGAGTCACTGCTGGCCACAGAGCTGGGGGTCTGTACTTCCTGAGTCACTGCTGGCCAATGGGGGATGATCAGAGGGCAGCCTGAGGACACCAAGAGGGGCTCGAGGAGTGGCAAGGGCTGAGTAGCCCTTAGATCCCATAAGAAGCCCTTAGATCCCATAAGAAGCCCTTAGATCCCATAAGATCTAACCTCAGAGGGAGATCCTGCCCTTGCTCTTCCCTTAGGATCCCCTAAGCTCACAAGTTGAATGTGGCTCTCGAGACGTCTTGGGACCCCTTGCACAAGCCTCTAATTGCTCTGGGTGCCAAAAGTCCCTTGGGAGCAGAGACCATGGATCAAGCTTGGTTCTTACCTTCCAATCATCTAACACAGGTCTGGGCACACAGTAGGTGCTCGGTAAACCCCAATTAAGTCGGGGCTCAAAGGGAGGTCATACTAGATAGTGGTTAATAGCATTGAGTTCAAATGCTGGCTCTATCGCTGAGGAGCTGAGGAGCTTGGGCAAACTCTTGAACCTGCCCAAGTGTCTGCCCCTCCATCAGAACAACAGAGATCATGACAGTACGATCCAGAGGATTCCATGAGCTAAAGGCAGGACCCGCTGAGCCTAGGGCCCCCCACGCAGCTTCCCACAGAGCTGCCGCTCCCTCTTTTACAGCCTGAACCACAGCCTGCAGGACTATGCTCATAATGAGAGAAACAATGACAACTAACATTTATTTGTGCTTTGGGCCAAGCATTTTACATATATCGTCCCATTTCATTAGTAGCACATCTGCTTTCCTAATGAGGCTGCGTGTTCCTCAGAGGCAGGGACTCTGTCTCTATGTTTTGGTGTCCCCCAGCAAATAAAAGGGGTCTAATGCATGTCAGTCTCCTGGGGACAGACCCATCTGGCCCTGGGTTGGAAGATGAGAAAGAGGTGAAATTGCTCCCTACAGACAAATGTGAGCCCCTCGGGAATGGCGTGAGATGGGTGCGTGAGATGGGTGCCATGGCAGGTAGATGACTAATATTCATTATCTGGATCGATGGACGGACACATGGTCTGAGCAGATGAAACTGACCCAACTTGTAAGTTACAGCCCCACAAATTAACCCCCAGAACCCAAGTGCTGAACCCCCAGGGAGGACAAGGCCGGGCACCTGTCTGCTGAGCCTTTGATGAGCCGGCGGCAGGTCTCCATCTGCACATCCAGGCCTCGCTTCATGCTGCACATCTCCATGTACTCGTGCAGGTGTCGGTTCATGTCACTCTTGGCTGTGGCCAGCTCCAGCTGAGAGGAACCAACATGGGTGGAGGGTGAGGCCCAGTCATCCTTGTAACAAAACCCTCAGCAACTCCCTCCTCACATCGTTGGTGGTGGCAGCATCAAGGCCACCTCTGGACATCATACCCTTAGGGCCCTGCCTCGGTTTCTATTCTCTACATACTGGTCCATGGCCTCTAGAACGGCTTTGGTGAAAGGGAAATAGTTGCTTAGCAACCACAAGGACCGCCTTTCCTGATGAAGGCCACCTCGTTCCGCCAACCTCACCCGCCCAGCACCTCCGCAGTCCTCTCTATGGACTTGATCAGAACAGTCTTCACGTCTCTCATGTTTCTGACCCTTCTCCTCTACCAGATGATGATACGCTCCCCAAGAAAGGAGCTTCTTTTCTTTCCTGCATGACAGCAGTAGGGACTCTCGCTGATAGACTGTGGCCAAGTACAGACTCTCGAGCAGATAGGGCTGCGCTCAAAGGCTGCTTGCTGGCTGGAGGCCTTGGGCAAGTGGCTCGGTCTCTTTTAACCTCATGTTCTCTTCTGTAAAATGAGGTGCATAGTACCTCCTGCATCGGGTGGAGATGCCTAGGTACCTGCAGGTCCATGCCTAGGGTATATGGAGACTAAGGAGGGGATACTTGTAAAGGTCGTAGTCAGTGCCTAGGGTCACTCAATAGCACTCAAATGTTAGCTCTTGTTAGTTTGGGATCACCAGCTCAGTTGAATAAGAAAAAACACCTCTCTGGGGCAGACAGGGTCACCACCCTCATTATACGGATTAGGAAACTGAGGCCCCAAAAGGAGAATGACTCGCCCAGCACCGCACAGGGAATGGGTAGGCCTCTGATTCTCGAGCCTGTGCCGACACGGTCGCTTATTTACTGGGGATCCCAACCATGTGACCTCAAGGAGCTTCCCTGGGGGGCTGCACCGCCTGAGCCCTCACCTCGATCTGGCCTATCGTTTCCTGATACTCTTTGTCTCTCGTCTTGAAGAAGGATTCCGTCTCATGGATCAGGTTGCCTAAGTTTTCCTCTTGCTGGGGAAACAGAACAAAGGGGACAATTTAACTGGGCAGTGGGGGAAAGAACAGGAACAAGGGACAATTGAAGGAAGATGCCCATCGGTCCCCACCTCCCGGCCTTTGGGAAGCCAGCCCCTGGGCTCACCTCGCCCGGCAGGTCGATGGTGGGGTTGCAGTTGGTGAAGTCCTCCCACAGCAGCAGTGTGTCTTCATTCTCTTCCCATGTCAGGCTGTCACAGTCATCATCAAAGTCAAAAGTTTCCCGCCTATGGGGGTGACATGGGAAGACATGACTGAACAGGAGCCAGGCTCCTGGGGCCAGGACCAGGGGGGAAAAGGGACATTACTCCAATACGGCCCTCCAAAAGGACAGGGGTGGTGCAAAGGGGACACACGCCTTATCTTGAAGTTTAACTCTTTTAAAATGCACTGTTTTTACAAACTCTTTATACAACTGAAAATGTGTATTTTTTTTTTTTTTTAGGATGCCAGGGTTTATAATTAACGGAGACTAAAAGTGTCTTCCTCCCAAGTCCAATCTTGTAATTTTTTCATTCGTTTAATAGCTCATTTCTCAAGCCCCTGCTTTGCATGAGGCGGTTTCTACGATCTCTGCAACATGGAAAGGTTGCTATTCCTACTCCCGTTTTACAGCTGAGGAAATTGCAGCTCAGAAAGAAGAACTCATTGGTCCAAAGTCACACTGCTATAGCCTGTAACAGAAACAGGCGGAAAGCCAGCTCTTTCTGTTTCCTACATCTCTTCCTTCCCCATGGAAACATCACCAGACACCCACAATATGCTGGGCACAAACTGGTCGGTAAGCACACAGTAAAATGCACTTCATTCCATCCTTGCAACAATCCTAGGAGGCAAGCATGATTATCATTCCCATTTTACAGATGAGGAAACTGAGGCTCAGAGGGATTAGATGGACTAGAATAATACATGCTGGGAATAGGGTCTGAATTCAAAGCCTGGGTAATTTCGGGGCTTCTTTATTCACCAGAACTCAAAGTGGGGTGACAGATCATATGGTTTTGTCTGGGACTGAGGGGTTTCTGGAGATGCACGGTTATCCCAACTGGAGGGATAATCACTACAAATCATTCGGCTCAACATACCCGTCATTCAGATGGGAAGGCCGGTGTCCACGGGAGTTAAATCACTTGACCGAGAGAATCAGCCAAAAAGGAAGTCAGTGTCCCAGTCTCCAAATGCCCGTCCCAGGGCTCCCCTACTGCCTACACCTCCCCCCCACCAGCTCCCTCCTGGATCTTCCCAACCTCCCCACATGGTCCAGGCTGGGGGCCACTGGGCAGGGCCCAGGAAGAAAGAATTTCTGGTAAAAAGCTTCCTAGAGCACCCCCTGAAAGCAGGTTCCCGCCAAAGAGCAGTTCCTGCTGGAGTCTGTGGGTGGCTCTGTGAGCCCAAGGAGCAGAGCTGGGGCCAGGGCTGCAGCCGCAGGCGCCACTGGCCTGGGCTAGCTCCAGATGAGGCCCTGGGGTCGGCCGTCACCGCATCACAAACTTGCCTGCTGACTTCACTTCCTTCCCAGGCTCTGGGATCTCAAGAAAACCCCGGCCGAGGAATGAGAAGCCAGAAAAGACAGGAAGATAGACCAGACAAAGGGCTCAGAAGAGATCCTCACCACCACCACCCCCCGCCCCCCGCAGATCTGGAGGGTGGGGCGGAGGAGGAGGGTTGGCAGAAAGTAGCGAAAGTAGCAAATTCCTCCCCTTTTCCTTGGTCTGAAGCCGAGCAGCAGCCGATTTAGATCAAAACAAAACAGCCCTGACGGGGTGCATTATTCAAAGACTTCAGTGGAACTGGCTCGGGTCTCAGCCCAAAGCTGGCGGGAGATGCCCCTGGGAGGGGCCAGGACCCCGCCTAGGGTGGGGTCAGCATGGCCTTGGCTAGAACTACAAGGGTGGAGGGCTGATCAGAGAATTATTTTTTAATTTAGGCAACTTCACACCAGATGGACTGGATACTGAACCCAGTTCAGACCTGTCGACACTCAGGCGCCCGTTCGTGCAGCATGGGCCTGGTGGCATTGGGACCGTCTTTCGTACACACAGGAGCACTCAGCTTTGGAGGATGCCCCTTTCAGCTCACCCACTACTCCATTCCTGGGCAGCTGAACGATTCTCTGGCGACAGTCCGGCCTCAGGCTCAGAACTGCCCAGGCCAACAGCATTCAAGAAACCTAGACCCAACTGGAGGTCCTCTTCCAAAGCCCCTCTTGTCAGCAAAAGATGAGGACGTGAGGTGTGGGGAGGATGCTGAAGAGAAATCAGGAGTCTCGGAGTCTCCTTGTCACCCTCAAATAGCAAACACCCCAAACACAGCCCCGTCTCAGTTCTGTTTCAGGAGCGGCGAGCATTGGGAAGTGTGGGGCAAACAAACAGCCGCCGCCGGCCCCAGCCGGCATCCTCACTGAGTCGCCTGGCTCCGACTGCAAGGGGACGAGGACAGGGATGGTGCTGCAGACAGGGCAGAGGGGCAACTCTTCCAAGCACGAAGACATCTGGTTGGGGACCAAGAGTCGGGCGCCAAGCTCGGTCCCAACTCCTGGCTTGATCCCACTCTGGGCCTCAGTTTCCCCGTCTGTATAGGAAGTGGCTGGGCGGAGTAGTCTTTGGACTCTGCAATTCTAAGCCAGCCCCAGGGCTTTGCAGGAAGTGTCCTGAGAGTCCCATACCCCTGGCTTTAGAAATGAGCAGGATGTCCGAGGCCTCTGCTGACAGGAGCGTGCCCTTTAGGGAGGAGTCCTGGGAGGTTTTGTAATGGCCGTCGGAGCCAAGAGCGTAAACCTAGCCCTACTGTTGGAAACCCAGGATGGGAGAGATGTCAGGTCAGAAAGCTTGCTCGGTCCCGAGACTCTGACGCAGGGGAGGGTTGAGGGCAGAACTGTGGTGTCCTGGGGAAAAGCTGAGTTCTCAGGGTTCAGGTGCCCAAATCCTAGGAACTGCAGAGAGAGCAGGCAGGAGCAGGCCTCTGGGGCAGAGGGACGGTGACTCCAGAGACCCAGTCTCAGCCCTGTCTTTGGACTCCAGACCCTTAGGCCAGTCATCCAATGACTACAGGGGCCCCTCTCTCCTTCCTTCCCCTCCCCCACTTTAGGATATTATGTTGATTAGAGTTAAAGCTGGATCAGGGTTGAGAACATGGACCCGGACAGGCCAGGACCACAAAGCATCCCTTCCCCAGACGACTATATATAGTGGGCTTTGGGTAAACCAGCTCTCCACAGGGGCGGGGCGGGGGGCGCAGCCCAGACTAATAGCATGTGCCAGTTTCCCACCCTAGCGAATTTTAAGCAACTAATGTGCCACCACCGAACCTGGAGTGGGCAGACATGCACGATCAGCTTCCATAAGCTGGTACGAGCCAGTTCCAGCCCACCACTGACCAAATTCAGCCCAGACTCTGCCACTAACCTGGGCAGCACCTCAAAGTGAGAGAACACAGACAGACGGGCCTAGCTCCAAATCCCAGCTCTGCCACATGTCAGCAGAGCGGTCTTGGCCAAGTCGTTTCCCCCGAGTGTCAGTTTCCTCGGCTACGAAAGGGGAGTGAAAAACGCCACCTCCCAGGCTGCTTATCTGGAGTCAGCGAAGTCGCCTTTGTAAAGCATCCTGCAGAGGATGCTCGGCCAGTGGTGGGCCAGGTGTGTGGCTCAGCTCCAAATCCCACCACAAAGGAAACTAGGGCCCACACAAATACGACCACCGCTACCGTTTGGCTCCTTCTGAAAACGTGAAACTCGCCAAATTATAAATGTTAAAAATGAATCCAAACGTGTTCAGAAAACCATTCTAGCCGACCAAAACACATCTGCGGGCTGCTTCCAGCCCAGGCCGCCCGTTTGCCCTTACGATCTCGGGAAATAGAGAGGAATACTCACAGCTGGTTAAACATGCGTTTCATCTCGTCTGTGATGTTCATGGAACCGACCTCGTCATCTGAGAACCGGTTCACCTCCCCATCCTGCTCGGAAATGTCTTCGTCCGAAGTCACCTTACGCTCTTTCTTCTTGGGGACCACCTGACCCGGAAAGAAAGAGATTAGGTAACTAGAAGGCTCTGCTAGGATGGAGGGTAGGGGTGAGCTGGGAAGGGAGCTGGCATCCCAAGGGATGGATGGAGGGTGGCTGGGGCCAGCCACTGCTGCGAAAGATGCACAGGTCCTCTAAGAAGCAGGCGGCATTAGCAGGAAGCGTGAGGTGGGGAGACATGCGGGATGGAGGATACAGACAGCCTGGACCCTTCCCTGCCCTGCAGGCTAGGCTGGCTCGGCTCACCCCTTCACCAGAGAAGCAGCCCCAAGTCTGGGGAGAGGAGCAGGCTAGACTGGGGCTCAGGCGCCTGGGATGTCTCAGAGCCAGCCAGAGAGACGGAGAAGCCCTTGTGGAGGCCCAGACGGCTCCATACCTTCCGGAGCCCTCCAGCTCACATGCAAAGGCAACAGGCGGGTGGCCCCAGGTTCACCAGCTCCCTCCACTCCAAGCAGACAAGACATGAGCGAACCAAACGGAGGCTGAAATGGTCTCCCCTGCTTTTCAGCAGAGGGGCAGGAGGTGGACAGAGGGCCCAAGGCAGCCCAGATCTCACCCCGCTACACACCCGAAGCCACACACTAAAGCAACGACACACCGTATTGCCCTGGGCTCAAGCAAAAGCCAAACCACAACCCAGACTCAAGAAGCAGCCTTTGGAGAATGACACGTGCCCTTCAGGTAGCTGGACTTGCCCCCCAAACCCTCACCGGAGGACAGCTGCCGGGGAACCCACCGCCTTCTCTCAGAGCACACGCTTGCTCATTGAGCGGAGGGGTGGGAGACTGACCGCCTCTCCGGTGGGAATGAAAAACAGTCAGAGGCCAACAGTTCCTCCTCGGAATTCTGAGGCTCATCTGCCGGGGCTCGAGCCAGCTCACCCTGTGCTCCGGCAGCCTGGCTAGGGCTCCCCGACCATGGCAGTGGTGCCCAGTTTCGGCACCCAGAGAAAGGGGTAGGAAGCGGGGCCAGCGCAGGCTAGTGGACAGAGCCCTGGCATTCTGGTCCCAGCTCTGACATTTCCCTCTTCGAGCCTGTCATGTCACAGCCCCCCCAACCCCCCCAGATAAGTGGCCTCCTCAGCCATAGGATGAAGCCGTCAGCCTTGATGATGGACTCGGACGAGCCTGCGAGTCTACGAGTACCTGCTTCTGTGTTCTCCTGGGGAGGCTAGAGGGTAGAGTACGCACTAGCTCTGGGGGTCGGGGCGGGGGGCGGGGACAGGGCGAGATGTGAGGGAGATAGAGGTTGGCCAGGCAGGGGTCAAGGCCGGGACTCTCTGGGAGGGTGGCAGTGGCAGGTGGGAGTGGCGGCTGGTGAGCAGGGTGGCCCTAGTCACCTGGAAGATCTTGGACACGTCTTCCGAGTTCCGCTGCTGTGCGACATCGCACAGCTTGGCCGTGATATCGATTCGGCGGCAGATGTCCATGTCCACCTTCATGGCCTTTTCTTGGATCTTTGTGTCCAGATCTGTCATGGGCTGCAGGGAGGACAGCAGGGGTTACGTGAGCGAGGGACGGAGCAAGCATGGGGGTGGGGCTCGCTCGAGGCTCCTGCCGGGCAGAGGAGGGAGACCCCTAGGTGTCAGGTGGGAGGCCCCGGAGTCCGAGGGGGTCCTTGAGCTCTTCCTGGGCGTGAAGGGTTGGGCCAGCCCTGCTCAGGTTGGGGCAGGGGTGGAAGGGTCGTGGGAGCTCAAAGCTCCGGCGCCGAGTGGACAATGTGAGACCGTGTTTGCCGGTCTCCCTAAGGGCTGGAAGGCATCCTCTCAGCAGACACAGTGTCAGTGTTTATTTTGTTCGAGCAAACAAAAAAGAAAGACAGCTCCCACTGTTGAAGGACTTCCCTCCTTTCCCACCCGGTGTACCCCACCTGTCCCCCGCACAGAGGTGCCTGCCAAGGTGGCTCTCTCTCTCCAGGATTCTTCCCACAGCTGACATCAGAGGGCTGCCCAGTACAAAGGGGGGTCCCCCTGGACCCCAAGGAGAGGAAGCAGGTGGCCTCCACCTGGAGCCCCCGGATGGCTTCTTCCTGCCACACCCAGCTTCACGCCGCCCCTCAGGAGAGAAGCCACACCAGGCTGAGTCATTCATGATCGGTCTCCTTCTCCTTTCTGGCAGCTCTCCCTACATACTGCCCGCTGCTCGAAGGTGGCAGGAAACCCAGGTCCCCAGCAGGAAAATGTCCTTGAGTGCCAACAGCTCCCCCCACCCGCAGTTACTCAGAAGGGATCGTCAAAAGGATGCACACGCTGGCCTTCCTCAACTTTACAAAGCGACCCCGAGAAGGCCGCTGGCCTGGGGAGCCTCTCGGCTGGCACAGGGCCTCCCTCAACCTGTGCCCAGACACTGAGCCCCACGACCACCACCCGCCTCATCATGGCGAGCTGGGGAGAAGTCGGAGCCAACACACACAGACCATCGGAGGAGCCCGGGGAAGGGCAGGATGGGTTAAGCGGCAGATTAATGCATCTCTACTCAGACCAAGGGAAGCGGAAGTGGGGAGGGGCAGGAGGAGGGCGCCTGATCTCTGATGCATCCGTCACCCTTCACATCAAACGCAGCCAGCCAGGACTCTAACTAGAAGCCGAGCTCTGGAGCCTCGGAGTGAATGAAGCATTTTGCATGATGGGTGTGAGGGGAGGTCATGATGCCTGGGGATGGTGGCCGGTGGCACTTACATCACTCATAAGCCCCTTAAACACCACCAGCTCGGCCTTGAGCCTCTCGATCTTCTCGTTCATCTCCTCCTGGATGGCTTCAGCTTCCTGTGCCGCCTATGGGGACGGAAATGCGGGAGGGTTTACGGATGCCACGCACCCTGAAGGGTAGGAGGGACTTGACACTTGAGTTCAACCAGGCTGGGTGCCTGAGTGCTGGGAATGGGGTGTCAATGACCTCGGCCCAGCCTGGCTTCCCACCATTCAGCTTAAAACACTTCTCAAAAGAATATTTATTGCATGGAAAAATCCATGGCAGATATTTAGAGAAAAAGAGCAGGTTAACGTAACCAAGTGATCCCAATAGGTTAAAATGTTAGGTCGATTCATGTGAAATTGCCAATATTTGACATTCTCTGATCTCCAAAATGGCAACGTCACGGGCGTCAACCTAACCAAAGGTATACATCTAGAATATGTTTGCGCAGAAAAGACGAGGAGATTGCAAGCCACTTTGTCAAAGGTGGCCGGGCACAACTGGAAGGAAGTTTTATTTTCTTCTCTGAGCTTTCCTAAATTTTCCAAATTTTTGACCACGAACATGTTGTGTTTGTAAAGCAAAGAGCACTTTTGTTCTAAAAACGGGGGATGTTCATCCTTTTCCTTCTATGTATTGATGTCATTTTCATCTGTTTCTGTCTTAGAAGATCAATAATTTAAATATCAGAAAGCGATTTTTAAAAATGTTTGAAAGAGCTTTCCACGCCTTCTCGGCGGGGGTGGGGCGGGGGTCGCTATTCTCGTGCCCATTGTGATGAGAGAAAAAGAGAGGCCGAGAAAGGTGAAGTTTGCTGCCCAAGGTACCCAGCAGGCAGGGGAGGAGCAGGGCACAGAGCACAGAGCTACGGAGCCAGAAGAGCAAGGGAGGGTCCCCACGCCCACCGTGGAGAGCACGCCTGGGCTGGAGCCCCCACTGGCGACATGCCTGCTAGCATGGAGCAAATGCCTCTCCGAGGTGTTTAGCCCCAAGGCAGTTCCTGAAAACTGGGGGAGGGGGGCTTAGAGACCATACAGTCCAAGCCTTAGATGGGGGAAAGAAGGCAGGAGAGGGGAGTCACTGGCTCAAGGTCACCCCGAAAGCCAGGACAGCACCAGGGCTTGGGCCTAGGCTTCCTGACTCCTACACCCAAGCCTAGCTTGGTCCCTGCCTAGCTCCGAAGCGGGGGGCCTCTTGGCTCCATCGAGGAGAGACTGAGGCAACGGACAGCACCAGGGCTTGGGCCTAGGCTTCCTGACTTCTACACCCAAGATTTTCTGGGCTGGTCCCTGCCTAGCTCCGAAGTGGGGGGCTTCTTGGCTCCATCAAGGAGAGACTGAGGCAGTAAGAGGTAACACAGAGCAGGGGCTATGCTGGGAACTGCCCCCAGCTTTGCCCCCTGAAGACTGTGCTCCTGGGCCACGTGGCTCTCCCAGAGCCTCTCCCGGGTGGGACCCCTGAGGGCTCTTACCTCCTGCAGCGTGTCCACCACGGTCTGCAGGTTCATGCGCTTGGCAAGCTCCTCCTCCCATCTGCAAGAGCCAAGAGAGACAGGTGGTCAGTGGAGGCCTCAGACAGTGCAGACACCCACCCTGGGTCTGTCCCCAGGCTGCACAACGAAGGCACAGCAGTGACTCCATCCCTGCCTGCCCTCCAGGAGTTCCCAGTGTCAGGGTGGTGGTCGGGAAGGGCGAGGACAGCCAGGTTAACGCTCGACTATAATACCAGGTGTTGGTGACATGTGTCATGTCCAAGGCATGAGCCAGGGAGACAAAGGCAGGAGAGACTGCCACCCCCTTCATGAAAACTGTAAAGTGCTGTTGCTTTTGCTGTTGCTCCGAGAGGCAGTATCGAATCGAGGCTGGCACTCAGGAGCCAGGCCGCAGCCAGCACCACGCTCAGGTTCCTCTTGACACCCGTAAGATAGAAACTTTCACTGTGCTAATTCTTGCAGTCTTTAGTCTATGTGTCCTGCAGCCTACCCTTGCAAAAAAGGTATCTCCTACGTAGCTATTATCATTCCTGTCTTACAGATGAGGAAACTGAGGCTCAGAGAGGCTAAATGTCCTGCCCAAAGACACATGGCGAATTAGCAGGTGGGACTGGATTTCAAACCCAGGTCTGTTTTATTACATTGAAACAAACAAACAAAAAAAAATACAGCTCTCACTTATTTAGCAGTTACTACGCGCCAGGCCCTGTCCTAAGCGCTTTACATGCATTATCTCATTAGTGCACATGCTAGTTGAAGCTAGACAGGAAAGGATAGAGAGAAGGCACGGTGTACCCCCAGCCATCACTGGAGGTAGGATGGAAGGATAATCAATACAATCACCATAACAATACCAGCTGCAACTGAGTGCTTACTTCATACCAGACATCTGCTCTACAGCGATGTAACTCGATCCTCATAACAACCCGCTAGCACAGGTGCCTCCATGACCCCCATGTTACTGGTGAACGAAGCAAGGTACAGAGTCAGGTCTCGCCCAAGGTCAGGGTGAGGACAAATGGAGCCAGGACTCAAACTTAGGCTGGAGGCTCCAGACTGAGTGCTCGTAACCCTGCCGGGATCCCCATGGACCCGTGACCTGTCAGAGCCCTAAGTGGCACCCCCGCCGCCCAGATCCCTCACTCCCCAGAGAAAGCGGGGGGTGGGTTCCTTTCTCCCCTCCATCCTGAGACACACAGATGAGCTTCTTTCCTTCCTCACCCCACTGCCACCTCCCTACATGGCCTCAGAGCGGGCAGGTCTGGAAGCCTTTTAGAATGTTGCCGGGGCCAGCTAAAAATAGGCCGGAGGAGAGGGATGGACGAAGAGTAGGTTACGTCACCAGCTTTTGGAAACAAGAGAAAACAGATACTGTTTGCACACACAGAGGAAAATTCCTCCTCTCTCCCACATGAGATGAGATGGCCCAGGCCAGGGCTACCGGAGGACACACACATGCTCCCCCTCCCCGCCACGTCCCTTTGGTCTTTACCAGCCCCTGACTTTGGTGGCCAGGCCTAGGTCTGCTGTGGGCCACAAGATCCAGAACCTAGAGGGCAATGGGACTGGGCAGGGGCTCCTGCCAGGGATGAGGGACACAGAGGAAGCTCAGGAGGGGCAGAGAGGGAGCCTAAGGGTCTCGCTCAGGTGGGACCATCTCACTGAACACCTTCATTGTACAAATAGGGACACTGAGGCCCAGAGTGTGCCAGGAATTTTCAAGGTCACCCAAAAGTATGTCAAGGGCCAGGCCAGAAGTCCAGCCTGGGGCCCAACATGGGGCACAGGAATCTGGTGTAGAGGGAGAAGTTCACAGGCCACCCTCGCCTCCGCCCAGCGGCAGGGGGCATCCGGGGCTTCCTTCAGGAGAGGCCAAGGCTCAGAACACAGGTCCCTAGCTGAATCATCTCTCCTGGCCACGCTGCTCTGAGCAGGGGCAGAGGACTTGATTCCAAAGCCACTGGGCAGAGCAGGTACAAGGGAGGGCCCGGCCTCGCGACCGCATCTTGCAGCAACAGCAGAAGCGGCAGAGGAGGGATGCGGCATGCGCCCAGGGGCATCTCACTTCGCTCCCATACACCCATGTCCTGGACGGGCTCCTGGGGGTGAGACCCAGGTCCCTCTCACTTTTCCTGTCAGCGACCTTCTCGTGAGGAAGGCAGGGCAGGGGTCAACAGACCCAGAGAAAGAAAGCGGCTTGCTGCAAGTCAACCCAGAGCGAGAGCGCAAGCCATGTCATTGGGTCTCCAGACACGCTGGTTGGCGAGCACATCCGGGTGCCACGGACTGGGCTCAGTGCCTTGTACACTTATCTCATCGGCTCTCATGTGAACTTTTAACCCTCTCGGGTAAAGAATTTTTCTCCAAACCCATTTTGCGGATAAGAGAGCTGAGGTTCAGAGAGGTGAGGTAACTTGTCTAAGGTTACACAGCCAGCAGGCAGGGCTGGGACTGAAGCTTACCCCGCGCTCTAAAGCAACATGTCTCGAACTGTGACATGCGTGAGAATCACCGAGGGATCTTGCTCACATGGAGACCCGGATTCAGCAGGTTTGGGGTGGGGTGAACACCCTGCATTCCTAATGAGCTCCCCTGCAGATGGCACTTGGAGTGACCCCATGCCTCACTAGTGTTTCTAAAATGCACCTCAGCAGATGAGCTCCCACAAATGATTTCACGGGCCTTTTATCTCCAAAGCCAGGCTGGGTGGGCAGCCGGCACTCTTGGTCCCAGAAGACCAAGCACAGACCCCGCGTACAAATGGCAGCTGGCTTGGCAGACAGAATCCGCTGCCCACACTGACGTGCCTCTCAGCCACGGCAAGAAAACCTGGCTCTGCCAGCTCCAGTGTTGACAGTGCAGAAAAGCTTTGCCCTTCAGCTGCTCTGGCTGACTGGGGTGAGTGGATGACGACAGGTGATGGGCTTCTTAAGACACCCTAGACATCCCACATTCACCGAGACTCAGCCCAGGGCAAGGGAGCACACAGCTTAACTGAGAACTGGTCCACCAAGTTGTGGGCTATGAAATTTCAACACCTGCTTCCCAGGCACAGTCCCCTCCTCGGATCAGGATCTGCCCACAGGAGTAAGGTTTCGGCAGGATGGGTGTTTCAGGCAGAGGACCAGCATAAACGAAATGGGGCAGCAGGAAGGCCTGGGAGTAGCTGGCAGCCACCGAGAAGGGGACACACCTACTATGGGTCAGGGGCTGGTAGATGTCATGTCCTTTACCACTCGCTGTCACAACTCTCTCGCCCAATCTACCGATCAGCAAAGGAGCTCACTCAGTGGGCTGTTAAGCTACAGAGAAACCCCCTCCCCATTTCACAGGTAGGACAACAAAGGCCAAAGGCACAGAGACAATTTGAGCCAGGGCCAAGATAGCCTCAATCACTTAGAACCACCCTGCCCGCCCTGACCCAACAGCTCACAAAACTCCCAAATGTCTCCCTCTTAAAGTGTTGGATAAGAGAAAGTAGAAGAGGGACATTTACTGGTCACCTTCTGGGTGGTGTCCACCATGTGAGGCATTCGCACACACATAAAATACAACATACCACTCAACCCTTTCCTAAGCATCATCCCCATTTTACAGATGAGCAAACAGAGACTCGGAGGCACCTGGATTCCCCGGTCCTCCATCCTCCTCAGCCTCTTGAAACCCTATTCACCCTCTGCTCAAGGCTCTTCTCAAATGCCACATCTTCCCCAAGCCCCCAAAGCCACTTCAATTGTTTTCTCTCTTCAAGCTCCAGCTGCAGGCAGCCGGGACCCTGTCCTCCCAGGCGGCTTGGCAGTGATAGCTCGCCATGCATGGCTCTCGTCCAAGGAGCCACCTATGATGCCAGGGACACAGAGGGACCACCTTCCATCTTCTCCACCTCCAAAAAGTGCTCAGGCCCAGCCCAAGATCCGCTCGTGGCCCCCAGCACCCTCTCGCTCTCTCCCACTCCCACCGGCAGACACCCTTCAACAACCATCTCATACCTGTGTCAGCCCCTCATAGCACTCACCGTCCACGATGCTCACAGCAGCCTCTCAAGCAGGCAGGATAGATAATGACGGGGCAGATGACGATAATAGTACAAACAGAGCAGCCGACACGGGCCGAGTGCTTACGGAGTGCCAGGCACCGTTCTTAGGGGTTTCACATGCATAATCTCATTTAAATGCGTTCCTCGGTAACCACTAGGTGTGATTATCATCACCATGCTACTGATGAAGCTCAAGTCCAAAACCATTACCCCAGGTCACACAGCCAGGAAAGTGGGGCTGTTTCTGTTTCACAGGAGAAAACTGACCCGCAGAGAATCATCCAAAGTGAAGGCCGAAGGGATCAGAGTTCACCTCATCCAAACCTCCAAGTGTATAGATAAGGAAACAGGCCCAGCGTCACACAGGGAGGGAGTGACAGAGTGCTCTCCACTCCTCCGGCCCAGGCCAGAGCTCCCAAGGAAGGGTCGTGAGTCCGGGCCCCGGCTCTGCCTCCCCCAGCATCTGCCGCCATCTCTCAATGAGATAGAGTGTGGGCACAACACACCCCAGGGACACTCAAGAAAAACCACTCTGCTCCCACACTCTCTGACAGTCATGTGACCAGCCCCCAACCACAGGCTTGTTCTGGCTGAACAGACCTCAGGGCACATCTCCTGGTCATTCCAATCCCTCTGGTGACCAGTGCTCAAAGCTTCCCACTTCCTGGAGCCCTGAACTGAATGTGAAAATGGATCCCAGGGAGGAAGGGGCCAACACAGGGCCTCCCCGTGACCCCCTGACCTCCAGGCATGATCCACCACATGGAACCAGGGCGGGAGGCTGGACAAGGGCAAGGTAGTGCTGGAGGGCCTCTGAGCTAGGGCAAGGATAAGCGGGGGCTCAGACCATGGAGTCCACAAAGTGGGAACTTGGACGTGTGTGTGGGGGCAGCACAGCAAAGCCCTCCAGCAACCATCTCAGGAGGTCTTAGGCACTCTGTGTCCTGGCCTGGGGGAGCATAGGGGGAACACGGGTGAGATGCTTGTTCCAGCGGGGAAAAGAG